TCTACTACTCCACAATAGAGGTAGGGAAGAGTACACGTGGAATATGGGAGATCCATTAGGGCGTCTTAGTATTACCATGCCCTGTGATAAAGATTAATGGGAAACTACAACAGCGCAATCCAGGCGGGACTACAAATGGCCCAGACACTTCAGGAATGAAGGTTTGAGTCACTCCACCAGGAAAAAAACCACGACCTGCTGAGGTGCTTGCTGAAGGAAAATGGAATACAGAACAGATAGTAGAAGGAGGTAGTCATCAATAACAGCTACGACCACATGACCAGCTGCAGACACGAGAACTGTAACTGTCGTATTTCTTCCTTCTTTTGTTAAAAACATGTTTGTGCATGTATACACTTGTACTAAGAAAATACCTTCATTCAATTTCCTTTTTCTGTTATCATGTGACATAAGATTTATTGACTTCACAGCAGCATTTAAGTATTGTCAACTTTATGTAATAGTATTTGGGTTGGGGATTGGTGCGTTTTCGTTTGTATGAAGGATGGTTGTATTATGTTAGAGGTAATTATGACCTTATTGTCTTTATTTGAAGATTATGTATGATCTCAGGAGATGTGTATGGGTTCAAGCTGACAAGAAGTAGACTTATGATGGTTAGTACTGAGGGTCGACTTGACTGAAGGATGCAAAATATTGATCCTGGGTGTATCTGTGAGGGTGTTGCCAAAGGAGATTAACATTTGAGTCAGTGGGCTGAGAAAGGCAGGCCCACCCTTAATCTGGGTGGGCACCATCTGATCAGCTGCCAGGGCAGCTAGAATATAAAGCAGGCAGAAAAATGTGAAAAGACAAGACTGGCCTAGCCTCCCAGCCTACATCTTTCTCCTGTGCTGGATGCTTCCTACCCTCAAACATCTGACTCCAAGTTCTTCAGTTTTGGGGCTTGGACTGGTTCTCCCTCCTCCCCAGCTTGCAGATGGCCTATTGTGAGACCTTCTGATTGTGTGAGTTAATATTTAAAGTCCCCTTTAATAATAATAGGATATTTAATAATTTAATAGTAATAGGATCTATCTCTCCTATTAGTTCTATCCCTCTAGAGGACCCTGACCAATACAAGAAGCTCTTCAAAAAATCATGGGAGATATAAAGCAGTGGTTTTCAAACTTGAATTATAACCAATTAGTGTACTTTGACATTATTTTAGTGTATTATAACCAACATATTTTTAAAAAGGGACAGAATAAAAACAGCAGAGAGCACTGCATATAGAAAGGGTAAGTATAATTTCATGACACTTAAATATATGCTTAGGTGTTGTGAGTTTATGTACTGGACTATGATGTAGAATGTATTTCTGACAGAAACGTTTATTTAACAGTAACAGGATCTATTTACAAACCAAGTGGACCAGGTGTTTTAGTCTGTTTGTACCGCTGTAACAAAATACCTGAGACTGGGTAATTTATAAACAATAAAAATTTATTTCTCACAGTTCTGGAGGCTGGGAAGTCCATGATCAAGGTGTCAGCAGATTTAGTGTCCCGTGGGGGCTCTCTGCTTCCGAGATGAGCACCTTGTCGCTCATATAGTGGAAGGGATGAACGCTGTGTCCTCACATGGCTCACAGGCAGCTCTCTGCAGACTCTAAGGGCAATACCACTCATGACAGCAAAGCCCTCATGGCTAAATCCCTTCCCAAAAGGCCCAATCTCTTAATATCACCACCTTGGGGTTTAAGTTCCAACATACGAACTTTGGAGGAATATCTTCATTCAAAAAGCATAACGCCAAGGAAGGCTGAAAGCCTTTTTCAACTGGCATGGAGTGGCAGCCGAGGTTAGGGTCAGGGGCCCTTGAACAAAAGCCTTAAGTTTAGGAAACAATACACAGACTAGTTGCTTACTATAGAGCAGTTTAATACCCTAAGCATTCTTTTAGGAGTGAGCTGGAGGCAATTATCTTAGCAAAGAAGCTGTAGGGAGAGTGAGGGGCAGGTCTACCCAGCTCAAAGGATATCCACTGCAAAATTTTCCTTCTCAGAAAAGGAAGGCTGCAGGATCCCTCTAGATCAAAACGTTCCTTTTCAAATTGAGTACATATATTGCCAGGACTCAACAAGAATATAATCTCCTTCAAGACGGGAATGGGACAATGCTTTCAATCAGCAACATTCTGCTTTTACAGTCTATTTCCCTCTTATTCTCTGAATCTGTCTCTTGCCCAGTTTTTGATGGTGTTTGAAAAGCTGGCTGCCATAGCTTGATAAGGCATATATCTAACCAGGATATTTTACTGCCTTTTCCATTTCTGCTTATCAAACGTGTTAACATATAGTGGACACTATCTGGATCTTTTTTTTTTTTTTACTAACCACTCATACTTCATGGCATTTTGGCCATCATAGGTATCTCTGGCTTCTTGGTCAATTGTTCTTGGTCTAGGTGTAATACTATTACACCTTAATTCTGATTGATTGTTCATCGACTGATTCATCTCCCCACCCCAAGTTAAGATTTGCTCATTGTTTTTGAATATATCTTGCTGGATTATATTGTTTATATGAATATATTATGCTAGGTTTTGTTAAATGCTCTATTTCTTAACTGTTACTCTGAAATCTTACTTTTTCAAGGTGCTTCATAATAACTTATTTTTTTAGAACTCCCAAACATGGATCAAGAGTACAAGTAAAGCTCTTCACTGTCCTCTATATAAACCATACAATTCTCACATCTGTACCCTTGCTCTTCTGTTTGATATGCCTTTTATTGCTCTCCTCCTCTCCAAATTTTATCCGTTCATCAAGGTTCAGCTTAAATCCCTCCATAAAGTCAACCTAACTACCCTCAGTCCCACTACTTTATCTAAATGCAGGTAGCACTCTATTTCCTCTCAACACTTAGAACTAAATTATATAGATCTTCACATATTTCTATAAATTATATCCTGTAGGATCCCTGAATTAGGAGTCATTATTTATATAGCTTTTGCCTTATGTAGTCTTAGGCACTCAGTGGGATACAGTTGAATGAGCGTCAAGAGATGAAGGTTTTTGTCTTTATTTGGCACTCAGGAGTCTGTAACAGGCTATTGGGGAAGACAAGCTCTCTGATACCCCTCTTACTTTTCTCATAGTATAAACAGTAACTATGTAAATGGGAGGCTATCAAAACATCTTGGAGACCACTACCTTATAATTCACAGGTAGGAGATGGTCTTGCCAGTAAGGTAAAAAGGTGCACCTCAGTGCTTCAGACTGCCCATTACAATAAGTTTTCACTTTTATAAACCTTAGGTCAGTACCTAAGCTATATATAGCTTATGTATAAGCAATATAAACCTTATGCTACACAAATAAATATTAACGGCAACTTTTTTATTTTTATTTTTTTTGAGATGGAGTCTCGCTCTGTCGCCCAGGCTGGAGTACAGTGGCGTGATCTCAGCTCACTGCAAGCTCTGCCTCCCGGGTTCACGCCATTCTCCTGCCTCAGCCTCCTGAGTAGCTGGGACTACAGGCGCCCGCCACCACATCTAGCTAATTTTTTGTATTTTTAGTAGAGACGGGGGTTCACCGTGTTAGCCAGGATGGTCTTGATGTCCTGAGCTCGTGATCCGCCCGCCTCGGCCTCCCAAAGTGCTGGGATTACAGGCGTGAGCCACCGCACCCGGCCTAATGGCAACTCTTGATAAAGAAATTGTGACTGGTTACAGCACGCTGGTCACTGAAAAGAGATACTAGAGGGCAGTAATAAAATGTAAGTAAAGAAATTAATTTATCACACTGCTACTTCATTGGTAATTCAAGGCAACCACAATTAAGGGGGTAAATACAGACCACAGATACTAAAGCAATGCCTGAAAGTAACAGATGCCAAATCAAATCAAACAAATGTTTAACATTTTATCAGATCTAAAATAAGTACATCTTCTCTCAGTGAATTTTCATAACTTGATGCACCATAAAATGCCAACAAAACTTCTGACGTACAGGATAAATTATATAAAATACAATAGGAACGCTCTTAATTCTAATTATTTAAATATTAGCATCAGCAGACATTAATAATACTATTCTGAACCTGGATCTGCATGAATCTGAACGTTAGCCGTTAGCTGATAGGCTAAGTATGATAGAACAAAAAAAAAAAATCAAAGCCAGTGGTGGTGATGAGCATCTGTAGTCCCAGCTACTCCGCAGGCTGAGGCATAAGGATCCCTTGAGCCCAGGAGTCCAAGGATGCAGTGAGCTATGATTGTGCCATTGTACTCCAGTTTGGGCCGGCCCATCTCTAAAAAAATTTTTTTGGTATGAAAAAGATGTACTTTCTAGGTGAAAACTTTATTTTTTTTTATTTTTTATTTTTTTTTTTTGAGACGGAGTCTCACGCTGTTGCCCAGGCTGGAGTGCAGTGGCGCGATCTCGGCTCACTGCAAGCTCCGCCTCCTGGGTTCACACCATTCTCCTGCCTCAGCCTCCTGAGTAGCTGGGACTACAGGTGCCCGCCACCGCGCCCGGCTAATTTTTTGTATTTTTAGTAGAGACGGGGTTTCACTGTGGTCTCGATCTCCTGACCTTGTGATCCGCCCGCCTCGGCCTCCCAAAGTGCTGGGATTACAGGCTTGAGCCACCGCGCCCGGCCTGGTGAAAACTTTAAAAAAAGAAAAACAAAAAACCCAAATTGGTGAAAAAAGCCCGACTATATCAGCACTGTATTTAGAAAAATAGGGAGGTATCGGAAAAAGGTTAAGCAAGCCCCAATGTCCAAAACAATAATCCCAGAAACTGAAAGCATCTTGAAAACCACTTAGGAATACAGAACTTTACATTTAAAAAAAGCAGGAATAATTTTGATTCACAAATGTCCTTAGTTGTGAATGTACCTAAAAACTTGTTTATAAAGCTGCATATATTTAGTGGAACAATCTTTTACAAGATCTCAGGAAAATAATCACCAAATAACATGGTGCACTTAAATCGCAGTGATCACCACAGTATGATTCACAGGTAACACCGTACAACTACAAAGATATAACACATTGCTACACATACTTTATTTGCAATTCAGTACCATGAAAACATTTCTCTAAGAGGTCAATGTAATAATCTTTTATTGATATAGGAACTCTGGCACTGAAAGCTTGAATAACCCAAGGTAATGATGTCGTCACCAAGGGACAACGAGAATAGAACCCAAATCCCTTGACTCCCAAGCTTGTGTTTTCCCTTAATTGTGCTCCTTTCTATTCATCCAAGAGCATCAAGTGTAAAACGTGGGAGAAAGGAGTGGACACAAATGAGCCAAGTCCGCGAGGTGGAGACTGCACTGAAAGTCCTAGGAATCGCCCCTTGGCACTTTCCTTTTGTTTTGGCTGAAGATGAAAGCAGCAGCAACCACAAACTCCTGGGACCAAGAACTGGAACTAGGTACTGCCTGTTGCGGTTAACTCTCTTCCTCATTTTAGGCCTTTCCTTTTTAACCTCTCCTTCCGGCCAAGCCTTCGCGCGCTCTTCCCCTCTCTCGGTTTCTATCTGCTCCCTTTAGCTCCACTCTGCATATTCCTGCTAGGTGTCCCCGTGAGAGGAGGCAGCTGCGCCGCACTGGCTCTCCACCCTCCATCAGGCCCTGGCGCCCAGTCCTCAGGTGTTCAAGAGGTTCGTAGCGTCACAAGCGCTCTCCCTAGAAAGTGAGTGGCAGTCAAGCATTATAAATGTGTTTCAACTGTTAAGAGACTTAAGAGATGGGAACCGGGGCATATACCAAGTCACCTCTGCGTGGGTTTAGGTAGCTGGTCACGACAAAGCAAAATTTAGACAATAAGCGTTGAGACTTTCCTTTTAGCTGCGAGTTTCACAGCTCCGCCATCCCCTGAGCAACCTCCCACTGGAGGACGCCTGCCGAAGCGCATGTGTTTACACTTTTCCTACACCAGGCGGAGGACCCAAGCGCTCGCCGACCCCGGGGGATTCCAAACCGTTACTCCGCCCGCCGGGGTGGGGCCAGCGCAACGGCCGAGCCTGCGCAGCCGGCCGGCTCCGGGGCCCCCGCGCACTACAAGTCCCAGAAGGCAGCTCTCCGCGGGGGCGGGCAGTCGGTTTATCTGCCTCACACTCATTTTTACCACTGCTCTCCCCTTCCCCGGTCCTCCTGGTGTCCTTTCCACAGTTAAACGCTACTTTCTCTTGAAGCACATGAGGAGAAGCCTTAGCAACCTCGATACCGAAGTTCTTCGCGCGCTCGCTCTTTCTGCCTCTGCTCGAACTATGCCTGAGTCCCTCACAGGAGTTGGGTAGTGCAGGCGAGAGAAGGAAGTCTTTGCAGGCCAAAACTAGGACAACCTGCTCGGACTTCCGCCTCCTGGCCTCCGGAAGGCAGTGCGCACGCGCTCGCTGCGACTCCGGCGCGGTTGACTTCCGCTCCCACTGTGCTCTGCGAGCCGAATCATGGATCACACTGGTAAGGAGGCGGAGGCAGTGGGGGTCCCGGTTCCATGCCCCCTTGGCCGGCCTGGGGCTGGTTGCCCAGCAGGCAAAAGGGATTACGCTCGCCCCACAACACTAGGGTGTGGCAGTGAGAAGAAATCTCACATATGCCTTCCTGTGCCTGGCAGGGGCCTGCCGTTTCCTGGCCTACCCTCTGGTGTGGTACCTACCTCCTCCGTGCCGGCAACAACCGCTCCTTCTCTCGTTCTGAGCTCCGAACCCGGACCGGTGGGCAATGTAGGCCTTTGGGAAGGGAGAGCGCCGGCTCTGTTTTATTCAGCCCAGCTGCTCTGGCCTACGTTATGGAGACTGGCGGGTAGATTGCGGTCTCCGAATCGCGGAATCCTCTTTACGCTGGGAGTGGACGGGCGAGAGTGGGTTGGAGACTTCCTGCTGTCTCAGTCAGCTTTGGGCGGGTGCTGCAGTGGTCACCTCCTGTCGTCTCTCAGATCCTTTATGGACTAGAGAGGTGAAAGAAGGGCGTCTGATAGAGTTTTTGGAATCCAACTCGTAGCTTTTACCTAAACCAAAAGCATGCCCCGCGCTTCGACTGAGGTCCGTACTCATCATTTGAGGGTATTTACAAAGAGGAGCTTAAAATCAAGGCATTCTCATACTTTTCTCCAAGTAAGAGTAGCTCCACCCTTTGTTATGTATTTTCTGCCTTTGGCTTCTTTGTGGTTCTCAGATATTGAATGCGTGCTCTTGGAGTTAACAGGTGCCCCATACATTTACAGCGACCATATCACAAATGGAGAAAAAAAGGCTTTGTCTTGAGTATTGAGTTGTCCTCATCAGATATCTGCTTGATTATGTAATTAGGTGTGTATGTTTATGTAGTGTATATTTATGCCAGATACAGATATCTGTAGGTCGGGAGATGGAAGATGGAATGGTAAACGAGACGGACCAGGTCCGTGATAGAACTTCTATTTCACGGAGGAACACAGACAATATCTTCTTTTTTAAAAAATTTTTTGTTTTTTTAAATGTTTGCGAATTATAAGTGTTTTGAAGAAAATAAACCAGTGCTGTGGAGAGATTCATGGGGGAAATTTCAGAGAGAGTTGTTAGGAATGGTCTTTGTGGAAGCTAAGATCTGATGGGTGAGAAGATCCCAGCCCTGGGAAAAAAGCAAGAGGAAAAGCATTTCCAGCAAGTGCAAAGGCACTGAGGTAGGAAGATGTAGTGAAGTCAGCTGCAGCCTAGTAATAACCAGAGTGTAAGAGTCCTGAAGTGAGATTGGAAAGGAGGGCAGCAGGCACATTATTCAGGTCATTGAAAGCCATGGTAAACGTTTGATTTTTAAGTGAATATGAAGCCACTGAACAGAAGTAGAGGAGGAACACAATCTCTTTAAAAAAATATAATAGGCTGTTCTATCGAGAATGGTGTAAGAGAGGGAGGTAAGAATGATGGAAAATAGCTGATTGCAGTAGACGGGAAGGGAAGGTTGGTTTGGTGAAAATGAAGGAGAATGGGCAACATCTGTAAATACTTTGGTGGTGTTTGAACGAATGTGAGAGAAAGGAGAAATACCTAGGTTTTTGGTTTGAGCAACTAGGTAGTGTCCATTATTGAATTGAGGAAAACTTGGAGCAGAAAACAGTCTTTTTTAATAGAGGTGAGATGGGAATTTGGTAACAAGTGTTTGGTCTTGGACTACTGGTGTGAGATAACTATTGAGACAGGAGAGATGCCAAGTGGAGATGAGAGGAAAGATCTGCACTGAAAATACGTACTTGGAAGTTAGTACCTTTATTTATAGCTGGTATTTTAAAGCATGAGGACAGATGAGACCACTTAAGAAGGGTGTGTTCAGAGGAGAAGCCGGCCTAGCACCAGGCTGTAAAGAATTCCAGTGTTTGGGAATTTATATAGAGTTGAAACTGCGATTTTGATGGTAGAATAGCAAACATTCGACTTTTGGAAAATAATTCTTATTTGAGCCCACTACTGGAATTGTGAGTCAAGTTCCTGCCATAGTTTAGAGGCTATTATGTTAGGAAGTCATAATAGGGGTGGGTGTAAAGCGTGTTTATTATCTTAATTCTTGAAGTTTAGACATTGCCTAAGGAAGTAAAACTCATCCTAACATGAAAATACGAATGAGCCAACCACTTAAAAAATTAGTTCCCGCTCAGATGTCCCTTCTGCTTAATACTAAATTCTTACCTATTTTATTTTTTTAATGAATCAGTCTCTTTGATGCTTAGTATCAGAAGATAGTATCAAATACTATGCATTGATTGTGAAATAAAATTAAAAACCTTGCAGAAGATTCTGGTTTTCATGAAATTCATAAATACGAATTTGATAATTGTTTAAATCACAAAGCCTTTGACAAATGAGGAAATGCCACTTAGCTAGATAATTGAAGAATCATGACAGAATAGGCATCTCAAAAGAATAATTTCAATATTAAAGGATTAAGAGTTCCTTGGGGAAATTGATGAAACCCTTGAACATTATGCAAAAATGACCCATTTTATGAGCATACTGACATTCAAATGTAAAAATGAAGGTGTTCTAATAGAATCTTGCCAGAAAAATTACTCCAAGAGGCTCCCAATTAACACTAGATTTATTCTTTGGTCATTCTAAGAATTAGCACTTCTGTAACCGTATCCCAGATTTTGTAAAATATCCCAGATTTTGTAAAATATTTGTTGGTTCCTTTTATTCAGGATAAAAATCCCCAATCTTTTTAAAACTATATAATATGGAAGTGTTGTGCCTTTTTAAAGTGAATTTATCTTAAGTGGCCGGTAGTCCTTAGTCATTTTCTATGTAATATCTAAGAAATTTTTGTTGTTAAGAACTTTATAATTTGTTACTGTATTCAAAAGGAAATAGTGCTTTATGTTCTGATTCTTAATTTAAAAACAACAAAAAGCAAAAAAGTCGCAAAAAACCCCAGAACATTACCACTATTAAATGCTGTACCTCATGAACTTCAATCTGTGAAGCAAAGTGAGAAGGGCCAGCCAGCTCTTGAAAGTGGTAGACTGTGCAAGCAACAATAGAGACCTCAAATGTTCAGGATGGTGTGAAAAGGACTTGTGATGAAGTGTTGGTATTTTCATTATTCACAAAGGTAAAACGATTCAACCATTTTGATATTTGAATGTTTAGTATTTGAGGGACAGCATTGAACTGATTATATGTGTACAACAACTTGCTTTTTAGTTGATTGGAATGTCAGGAATACTTTTTGAGCAAGAAAAAAAGTCATTCATGTTTCTTCTGGCCAGTGCATTGCTTGTAATTACTTTTACGTACATAAGCAACTACAATGAAAGCAGATCAAATACATTAATCAGCTCGTGAGTCTATTTAGTGAAGCGTTGAAAGCTAATCAAGTTGGGTTTACCCCAATTCAAGATTCTAGCTAACCATGTAATTCTGCCCTCCCCTTGTTTGAGGATTAGCTGTTATGAGAGTAGTAAGTAGACTGAAAGATACTTAAAATAATCGTTAAGGACCCATTTTTAATTTTGTTTGATATATTGTTCAGAAAAAGTGCAAATGAATGTGAACTTGGTGTGTGTCTGTAATCCTAGTAGCCTTGGAGGCCATTAGTACTAGCTTACTACTTCCAAATTTGGCTTTGCTGAATTTAATGTGAACGGTTTGGCTATCTATCTGGACTGTAATATTTCCTGCAGGGGCAGTTATACAACCTTGTTCAATAACTTGTCATGTTTAAAACACAATAAATTAAAAATATGTTATTTGTATTTCCTATTTTAAGCATTTTCCTTTTTGTCTTTAGTAGGTCAAGTTAAGTATTTTCTGTATTATATCTTTTCATCTATTTGAAAAAAGGTGACTGTTAAGCTTTAGATGGGGTCAGTTCTATGAAATAATACTCCTGTTACTCATGGGACAAGAATTAATTCTATAGACAATAACAAGCAAAGACTCCAGGGACTAGAAGGTGACAGTTGTTTAGACCTAGTTGTAGTACAGGAACTTTGCATCCTCTTCAATTATAATTTTCCATTACAGGGCCGACTACGAACTCAGTCATATGTTATAGCCCAATACATTATTGCATGTTTTTACTACTAAATGGTGTAATGATTTTTACTGTAATTCTGAATGATTTTTAGAATAACTCTCTAACACTTAAGGAATAATCACATTTCTTAACTTCATTTTCAAATGCATTATTTAATTTTGCCTTCATCAGTGTTAGTAAGTTCAGTTTACTAAGTTTATTATCTGCATGCTTGATGATCAGACATGGGGATAGGGATGGTTTTCTTTCTTTTTCTCCCTAGTCTTTTTCTTTAAAAAAAAAATCTCTTGTAGTTCAAGACAATGGTTCTTGGGTTCATGAATGGTTTCATGTTTCTGTAAACTTCTCTGGAATTATATGAAAAATTTTATTCACTTTTCTAGGGAGAGGTCCTATAACTTTTATCAG